GGAGAGGGAGAGAGAGAGAGAGAGATAGAGAGAGAGAGAGAGAGAGAGAAAGAGAGAGAGAGAAGGGGGAGGGGGGGCTGGCGAAGGAAGTAATGAAAATGTGTAGATGAAGGCAGATAACAGAACAAGGCTTTTGAGTATGAAAAGAGGATAACGGAATAAAGGAGAATATTTTACAGATTTCTTTCGTCCAGGACAGGAACAGGAATTTTTTTTTATTGGGAGGCAAACACCGACCTCTAAACCGCGGGAACGCCCCTTTTGTTCATCAAAATAAATACTATTCAAATGTATAGATGAATATATTCAAATTAGAGAAAAGAAATACTAGATACACAAAAATCAATCAATCAATCAATCGGTCGATCAATCAATCGATCGTTCAATCTAATGACATGCTGTTTTTCCAGGCTGGCGGATTTGGTCTCCCCTTCTACGTCATCGGCTCCTTCATCTTGTTGAACGGTGCTCTTGTGTGCGGATGTCTGCCCGAGTCTACCGGTACGTTTTTCTCTTTCCCTTTTCGACATGTGCGATTTTCTGTTGTAATGTAGTTTCTTAGGAGACTACTAAGAGTGTCGTGGGAGGGGAAAAAAATCAAATGAGGTAGTGTTTGATGAAGCCTACGTGGGACGCTCACGGATAAAAACAATCAGGAAACGACAAATGCAGTTTTTGGGACACCTGAACAGACACAAGAGTCTTGAACATCAAGCTCTCACTGGCAAAATTAAAGGCAAACGAGGCAGGGGAAGGCCCAGAACAATCTGCTTGGGGAGCCTAAACAAATGGGTAACTGGGAAAGATCAGGGAAACGTAGCTTTTTTAAGAGCATCCGAGCAAAGGAATGAATGGAGAACCATGATCACCGATGTCTGCCGCAGATCTGGAACTGGATGATGATGATGAATGTAGGTGATTTATTCTCCAATCGACGTAATTTAGGTTATTTTGCAGGTGGGTTTTGGCCTTCATAAATGCTAAAAGGGAAACACTATCCCAATAGAGAGAGAGAGAGAGAGAGAGAGAGAGAGAGAGAGAGAGAGAGAGAGAGA